ACAGTAAAAGAGTATTTGGTAAAAAGTTTATTCAAGTACTGAGTTACTAATCAGATTATTAATCATTTAATGTTTAAAAATTATAGAGTAATGAGTGGAAATGTTGATATTTTAAGGACACGGATAACAGTAATTCACATAATTAGCAACAAAATAACAAAATCAGGCAAAATGAATGTTTCCAAATCAGTTTCTTTCAATAAAAAACATAAACTTTCACATAAACAGCGGCTGTGTGTTTTTGTCTGGTTAAAACATGTTTGTTTTTCATTCAGTGGGAAGAAAATCCAGAAATTTTATTGAAGTAAGAGAAGAAATACTTTATAATAAGATTACTAAAGTAAATGTAACTGAGTAAATGTAACTAGTTACTTCCCAACTCTGGTGTTTTCTCACAACTTTTGCTGTCGTCATTTTGCCACCAGGAGGAAAATGTCGCGCCGTAATGCCGTAATTTACTAACCGTAAACTAAAATGAATTTCACATCAGTTCGAAGGTTAATGAATATGATATACCATGATATTGCTATAATTTCAGTTAAATCTTTTAGTTAATGATGATGACCTCGATCCAACCCAAAGTCCTGCTCTCTCCTGCAGTATCCCACACCACCACAAGGAGGCCCCGGTCTCCTCCTGCCCTGACCCCAACAAGGTGAACTTCACGCCCCACGGCGGCTCGGCCTTCTGCCCCGTCAGCCTGCTGAAGCCCCTGTTCCCCTCCATGGACCTGCTGATCCGCAGCCTCACAGTCTCTCCCGTCGGGAACTGCTCCGGCCAGGGAACGCCGTCCGCTGGGAACCGCGGTGCCTCCCCGGATCCGGCTGCCGCCTCCGCCGTGCTGGGAGACGCTTCGGGAGAGGCGCTCGCCTTCTGATTGCAGCTGCAGCTCTTTTCTGTGAAAATGATGATGCAAATGTTTACCTGGACCAGGCAGGTGTGTTTGAACTGCTCTTCTTCTTTAGATATAAAATAATCTGATTTATGAGTAACTCTGGAGGAGGGCAGATAAATGATGTGGTGGTGTAAAACACCCCTGGTGAAATTTTAGGTGTTTTTCCTGATAAATCAACTCTTTCCACCTTTTATTGTGACTTCTTCTCTTAGTCCAATGCACTTTCAGTCAAATTTAACTCTAATTTTAATCCAAATTCATTCATTTTGTTTGTAAATCTACATTTAAGCCCCATATTATTATTATTTCCTGACATATTTGAATTTAAATCTGACCTTAAACCAAAAAGTTATTTCTGAAGATAAAACTGTAAAATGAGCTGTATTTATTTACATTTTCATTAAAAATTGTGTTGCAAATTACTTATATCCTTCTCAGTAATCGGTTTGAGAGTCTTGGCTCCGTCTGGCTGAGCTTCACAAACATTCAAATTACATCCACATCCCAGTAAAATTAAAATAATATAATAATTTGATGCAATAATTTTGTGCTTAACTGTATGTTTGGACTTCTAATTTTTATTTTCTAGCAGAAATCCTGAAGGTTTTGCATAAAAATTCATGAAAGTTGTCAGAAATGTATCCACTGTTATCAAAAAAATTAAACCAAACCCACAGGATAATGATGCCACCACCATGTCTTGATTCCCTTCTTCTTAGTCTAGATATATGGACAATAGAATATATCGTCTGATACAGAATCAGTGCTGCTGTTGCCTTCCTGACAGGTTCATGTTTTGCTTTATTCTTGGTTTGGCTTTATTGTTTTTGGATAACTTTCTCCTGGTGAAATGCTATGGAAAATAATGCTGAGGAATTTTATTTGTAGCCTTCTTATGACTGGTACCTTTAAACAATGAGCTAATAGATTCACCAGAAAGATGGTAGAAAATCTGAATGCAATCAAAACAAGAGGTCATTGCTGCTTTTTTCCCCAAAAAAATATTTTCTTTTCAACGGATCAGTTCAGAATATGTCGCTCTAAAAGTGGAAAGTTTTGGTTACTTATCAGGATTTCCTTTAAAAAACGACATTTTACCAGGGGTATGAACACTTCTGAGCTCCGTCGAAACCCAAAGGAAAGACTTTATAAGCTACAATTTCCTTCCAGGAACTCAAAACATTTCAATTTGGGTCAATCAGTTTTATTTTCCAAAGAAATTTATGGCCAAAAAAACAACATGAAACAGAGCTTTGACTTTACTGACTTCACTTCCTGCCTAGATCCTCCTCTTTTTTTACGTTTGTCCAAAATATCAGGAGTCTAGGTCTTCTGAGAACACTCACTTATTATTAAAATGAGTTTTCTTCCTTTTTGTAGGTATTCAAAGATATTTATGTGTAACTGGATGTTGCTAGTGCATGACAAATCAGCTGGTAATCTTTGCTTGACTCAAGAGAAGACAATGAAATCACTTATTTTGTTTTATTATACTTGGCCGTAGGGAAATTTCCGTTTGTTGGAGTTGGGTAGCATTTACACCCAAGAGCTTCAGCTTCCTGCTTTAAGGTAGTTTGTTGTTTTTGTAGAAATATGTATGAGTTAGTAGTTAAAGATGTTGTTTTTCGATGTTGGTGTATCAAGAACACACCAGGTAGGTGTGTTTTTGACGCCATGTTGATAGTTTTGAGGTTTCACGGCCCAGTTGACTACCTAACCAGTTTTAGTGGTATAGATGTGTCGCCTTTCATGTTTGCTTTGATATGTTTTCGTTCTGCCAAGCTGACAAGTCGATCAACTAGTTTTATTTCCGGTAGACATGTTTGCACAGATTGAACTGCTACCTTCGAGTTGCAATTCTTTGTTTTGTTTTTTTTACTTTCATTCTTTTTGTACTTCTTTGTAAATCTTAAGAGTAGTAAAGTGTATTTTGTACGTCTTTATCAGTTACCTGCAGCATAAGCTAAAAGGAAAAAAAAATCTCCTGTTATTTCTAGTTTTGTTGATGTTCGTTTGTGGCAGGTTTTTCATCATCGGGTGGAGTTTTATGCACTTCCAGGAGAGGATGTTTGTTTTTTTCCCCACTTTTTACACATTTCTGGGTAAAGTGTCTGACAGATTTATGTGTGTGTGAGTGTGTGAGCATGGTGATGGAGACTTGATTGATCTTTTGACTAACTTGTAGTTTTTTTTATATTATTATTATTAAAAATACAGAATAGAGTTGTTGATACAAAATGCTTCCTTTCTGTTTGGATGTTGGGAATTTGCTGTTTTCTCAGGTTCTGTGTTCTGTCCACATAAACATAGTGTGACGATAAACTCTGGTTTCTGTCATTTCTCCACTTAGCTCAAATTTTTTTACCACATCTGTCAAAAAAAGCAACCTAGAATCAAGCAAATAAAGTAGCCCTTTTTTTTTTTTTCCATTTTTAATTTTTCAAAATGGATATTTATTGTCGATCCAAAAGTTAAGAGGGATTAGGGATATTGTAAATAAAATACTCTGCCTTTTACTTTATTATTAAAGTAAAAGGCAGAGTAAATTTCTGCCAAAATCTTCAGAAGTTTAGTGATTTATCTCAGAAATTTTCTAGAAAAAAACTTTCAAAAGTCAAACATTTTCAACATTTAAAACTCAGAAATGTTCTAATCTTTATGTAGGAATTTTCTGAGATTAATTTAAAATTTGACTCTTGGCAGAAATTTCCTACTTCCTACTTTTTTCTCTTTACGATTACATGATTGTAGCTTTTGCACATTTCTTGTATTTAAAAAAAGTCTTATAGGTTTGACTTTTCTTATTTTTTTTGGCTTGATTGACTATTTTCAGTAACAACAGAATTTTGGTCACTTTCTTTAAAAACTTGCTATATTTAGCAAAGAAAACCTAATTTGTTTTTTTCAGGAAAGGTCTCTGGATAAATGTAGATTTATGTTCTCTTTTAAAGTTTAAAGTATTCATCTATAGCGAGATGAATACTTTGTCAGAAAATTATGTTGGTAATTATTTAACCTGTATTAAAAACTTGCATCACTTTTGAATTGCAGTTTGAGGGGGCTGCACAAAATCAGTCCAAGGGCCACTAAAGGCCCCCGGGCCACACTTTGGACACCCCGACTGGGTCTCTTCTGTACTGATGTAAAATAAAAACTAGTTGTTAAAACTTCTGCATTTCATGTTGAAGTTTTCAGATCTGACAGCAAATGCAAACTCCGACTCTTTAGCGCCCTCTGCTGGTGCGTGACCCATGAGGGCATTTTGAGGCTTTATTATATTTTTTAAATGAGTTTTTCTTCTAATTTCTTGTACAGATATCTTGGTACATTTGAAATAAGACAAAACTAACTTTCAGAAAGACATAAGAGTTTGATATCAGTCAATAATTGCTTTAAATTAATGAAAAAGTTCTAGTTCCACTGGCATAACAAAACATTTTTACCGATGTTGGTTACCTTAAGTTAGTTTTGTCTTATTTCAGTTGTACTAAGATATTTGCACTAGAAACTAGAACAAAACTTGGTCAAATTTGTATGTTTTTCCCCCCAAATATTTGATACCATTTTAGTTTGATTTACAGAATCAGCAACTCTCAGGTAGTCTGAGCTGTTTTCCTTCTATGTAAGTAAATACAAGTAATAACATTTCCTTCCAGTTGTTTGTGAACAAAATGTTAAACATCACTGACTTTACTAAGTGTAAAGCATAATATAGTTAAAAGTTAATTTCTAATAGTAATTCAGTTAAACAAAGTGGTATATTTCATGTATTTATCATCATAGAAATTAGAATGTTGTACAATAACAATAAAGAGATTTTTTTTTTGTCCAAGTGTATGAATGGAAAGTTGAGTGGAAGGAAAAGGTGCTCAAATATAAAGGAGTACTTTGATGGAGTTTTGGCTCAATTCTTTGATTTATTTATTTTGAAAATAAAAACCAAGTATTTTTTATTAAAATGCATCGAACTTGTTGTTTGTAACGGGCAAAATGTGAGAATGTGATTGTGAAGGCAGTGACGGGCGGCAGCAGGTGAGTTTTCTTTAAGAGGTCCGCAGCCTCGCGGTGTAACCCGGGTTCTCGTCCCCGGCTGGGATTGGCTGGCAGCAGAGGAGGGTGTTCAGCAGCGCTGCGTGCCTCCAGGCCTGCAGAAAGAAGATCCGCAGCAGCGCTGCCTGTTTGTCCGCAGATTCCTAAAAACCCAACAGACTCCGGTTGTTGTTGCTAAAAACCCGCCACTATGTCCATGTTCTCGGTCGTCCGGAAGCAGATGAAGAGTCACCCCTCTGTAAGTCTCAAATCCTGTAATTTATATTTTTTTTCTGTGCTAATTATCTTTATTTGACATTGAAAGTGCGCGCTGAGGGGGAGGCGCGCTCCCGATTTCTGAAACATTCCGTAAATTACAAAGAAAAGGGCGATCACTTATTAAATACTATTATAAAAATAAAAATGTATCCACATTATTGGGATCTGAACGCAAATATTTGGGAGGTTTTTCCCTCCCAATAACCTTAAATTATTGGGTTACCTTAAATTTAGGTCTAATCCTAAAATTAGACCTAAATGGCTTATTTTTATATATACAAAAACCACCAAGAAATGAAAAGAATGGATGATTAAAACACGACCGCACCTAAATTGGGTTAATTTCTTTTGTAAAAACAAATGAATTGCGCTGATTTGCACTTCACACTCAGGAGCCACATCTGCCAGATTTATTCTGGATTTCCCAGCCGGAAAAGATCCAGATGAGGGGATTTATACCGCAGCCATGCGTGGTGGTCGCAAAAGCACGTATGATATCCATACAGGCCTGACTGAAGTCTATTTTTCCAAGGACGACGGGGTGAAACAGTCTGCTTTACGGCAGACACCATATAAATAGACCACTGATATGTTTATGTCCTCTGCTGGTCGGTGACTCATTTGCCAGTTTATTTAGCTGGTTGAGGCATTTTGTCGTGAAATGTTTGATTATCACACCAAATCTCCAACCTGAAAATAAAATTCAATCAACCTCAGAAGAACAACCCCCCACCAAAATTAATGGATAAATGATTTCAAAACCCCTTATTCCACCCACTTCAACCGATTAAGATATTTTGTTTTTGTGAACCTTTTGATATAATTTCAATAACTTTTTGGATTCACGCAGTGAATGTCGTCAACCCAAAAATAAAACTCAGCCCTCTATTTGCATATCTTAGCTAAACAGCGACATTAGCGATTAATTATGGAAATAAATTAGGTTTATTTAACGATAATTCGAAAAATGTACGTTTTTCGAAACGCTGATTTCGAAAAAGAGAATGTTTATAAAAAGAGGTGGTTTTCCGGCTGAATCAAAAGAAGTGTCTTTTTTCCGCATCACACGAGTCATGTGATCAACAACCGGATGTTGCTACTCGCGGAAATGACGAAGACTACAGGAAGTGTTAGGAGGATGATTGCTGAGCACGTCTTTTAATGTCTTATAGCGTGAACAAACTTACTTTAACTGTATTATTTATTTAATAGAAACATTGCAATTGCGAAATTGTGGTGGTGGTGGGGGGTTACGTTAGTGGAATATCAACAACGTTTTGTGCACATTTGTAATAGAAACAGGTTATAACAGGGATCAACTACGTACTTTGTTTTCAATGGAACAGGAATCACTTATATTCACAGTTTATTTGTACTAAGAAAAAGGTTTGCCTTTTCTTCCAGAGAAAGCATCTAGGCGTGGCTAAAATATTGTAAAAACTTTGTTGGATGAAACCAAACATAATCTTTGGGCTGAAATTGCCACTGGCACCATTGGGTTGCTGGTTTGAATCCCTGATCCGTTGTGTAAATGTATAAATTACTAAATGTAGATTAAAGGGCTTTGGAGTCCTCTGACTTGGTAAAACATTATACAAGTAAAAGCCATTTACCTTTTCTTCAATTTTACAGTAAAACCTGTAGGGGTGGTATTATGATCTGGGATTTTCAATGCTTTATTAAGTTTAATTGTTCAGGTCGTATGTAATATTAAAGGTGGAAAAAAAATCTATTGTTTTGCATCACATAAAGACTATTTACATATAGTCTTCACATATATGTGAAATAACATGGGTTTATGTTATTATCTGTTATTCAATGTAATAAAGCTTTATTATCATATTATCTGCTTATGTTTGTTTGTTTCCTACAGCTGATTCCCCTCTTCGTCTTCATCGGTGGCGGAACGACGATGAGCATGTTGTACTTGGCCAGACTGGCTCTGAAGAATCCCGACGTCTCGTAAGTATCTCTGCACTGCAAAAACACAAAACTTACCAAGTTTTTAGTTTAGTTTCTTATGCAAATATCTTAGTAGACTTGAAATAAGACAAAATTAACTTACAAATAGCTTTTTTTTTTTAACAAAATACAGGAGTTTGGTTTAAGTCAATAATTCCCTAAAATTCATGAAAAAGTTCTAGTTAAAGTTTAAAAAGAATATTAAAAATC